TACATAACATTTATCTCCCAAGTCCGAATTTCATATTTATGTAAAATGAAGGACTTTGATATTTCTTTGCTTCTAATGAAAATCTCTGAGCCGTAGAGTTTTAACCACTGCATAACTTCTCTAGCTTTTTCAAAGTATCATACAGGGTACAGATCGAAGCATAATAGAATGGTTTCTATAGATTTTTCTACTTCATATATGTTCCAAAGGTATTTTCATATGTGCTTCTAAGCATTTAGGTCAGAGAGAACCTGAAGCTTAATAGTTGTGTAATTTTTTCGATCGGAGATATTCTTTCAGTCCCATAACAGTTTGGATCTTAGATATATTTTTATTCCCATGTGATTATATGTGGATGTTCTTTCAATCATGTGATGCTCTCGATTGGAGATATTATTTCAATTTCCTAGAAATTGGTTCGCACAAGTTAAATGAGATAAGTTCACTTGGAGTTCTTAGCTTAGCTTCCTACAAGTTGTGTATCAGTTAGTGATATTCTTTTCATCAATGAAGTGATAGTTCATGCAGTTTAAAGGAGGCAAATCTAAAAAAGAATGAACCGCATCCCAGACGGCCCCTACCCGCCTTATCCTGTCCTGGGCCTTAGTGAATGAGGTGAATCGCAAGTTATGCCTCCAAGGGTATAGGGTGGAAGGCTGCTTGTACACTTGCACTTATTCAAGGACTAAATCCATATTTCAGGATTCAAATCCTTGACGAGATAGCCTCCAACAAAGTTAGAGCTTTTTCCACCTTCTCCTTTTACCTCTTGGAGATGTGTCATGTGGGCTTAAAGGAGACAAATCTAGATTAGCACACTGGTGGTATGTTCTTGATCTGAGATATTATTTCAATCCCCGAGATTTTCCATCCTTTATTTCAATTTGATGCCTTTATATTATTTATGGATTTTCTTTCAATCTCCAAGATGTCCTCAATTTGATATACTCTTTTAATCCCCAAGAGATTTGGATTGCGCAGGACAAAGGTGGTAAGTCCACTTTGGTTTCTAAGGGCCTCTTTGAGCCTCGTTTTTGTATAAAATGCATTTTAAAATAGTAGATTGATGGAGAATGTGGGTTAAGAGGGAAGGAAAAGATATTTGGTTGAATATGATATTATTTTATTGAAAAATATAATTGAAAAGAAGAGAGAAAAAACGTATTTTGAAAAAAATGGGGATCAAACAAGGTATAAGCTTAGCAACAAGGCTTTATAAAATTCTAAAATGAGTTAACAAGAGAGGCCTAAACAGGTTCTTAACTCCCTCATTGGGTTTTCAAATATGATTATCTCACAAAACGAGGAATAAGTAGAACGATCCTCTTGAGGACGAGGTAAACATAAGCTAGGACATGCAGCTGGCCCTTAGTTTCAGCGTTATGAATAATCATATGCTAAAGATCGAAGGTCTTACAAATGCCTTGAGTCACTATGACTTACAGTTGGCCTTATCCTTAACATCGTAGAATCATAAGTCGAGCTTCGGTGGATTTACAGACTACCAATGGTCGTAGCACATTTATCTGAGACTAGTCCTCTAAATATGTTCATCCCGCGAAGCGAAGAATTAGTAATGAGACCTTAAGGCCCCCATGGCACATCTCCAAGTGGTAAAAAGTGAAGGTTGGAAAACTCCAATTTTACTTGAAACTGTCGCGTCAAGGGTTCGAATTTTGAAATATGAATTTGGTCATTGGGTAAGTGAAAGTGTACAAGCAGTCTTCCACCCAGGTATAACCTACGATTTACCTCCTTCACCAAAACCTAAGGTAGGACAGGTGAGGGCCGTCTGGAATGCGGTTCATCTTTTTAGTAATGAGACCTTGAGCTAGCCTTACAGGGAGTTACGGGCTCTTCTTAAAAGGATAATTGCTTTAGCTGGCCTTCAATGGTAAAATAACCACGAGTTGGTGAACAAGGGCAAATGGGCTCATTTTCAACAGGAAAACTACCAGCAAAAGCTGGACTTCAAAGTTAAGATAACTACAACCTAGTGAACGAGGGCTCATGAGTGAGGACTTATGGGCTCATAAAATAACTTGTGAAGAGCGTCTTTTGAGAATATATAGCATGTTCAACCTTTCGATTGATCACCTCATATTTAGGGATGGATATTTTTTCTTAGAACCGAATTGGAACCGAATAGAACCAGTTCTTTTATTAAATAGATCAATTTTGGGACCATGTATCAAGAACTGATTGGTTCCGATTCGATTTTTGATACTGCCTTAAGAACCAATAGTGACTAACGGAGAAACAGTTCTTTTATTAAATAGATCAATTTTGGGACCATGTATCAAGAACTGATTGGTTCCGATTCGATTTTTGATACTGCCTTAAGAACCAATAGTGACTAACAGAGAAATTGATGAAAAATTTGCACACCGAATTCGATGTGATAGAAAACGCAATTTTGTTGCAATTTAAGGTTAGGTAGTTAAGAAAAACTTTCTCAGATCTGGTTCCCGACAGGAATCTTTTTTTCATATATTTAACTTCACCCAACAAAAAAATGACGTGATCAACTAACTGGTTTGGGAACTTGTCATGCTTTTGTATACAGACGCAGCAGCCACAAAAATGTTAGAGTAGTGCTTGATGTACAAT